AGATTCGGCCAGAGGGGTCCCACTGTCCCTCTAAAAAAGCAGTGACAATTCAGTGAGTGGTGGCAGCGAACTTAAGGAGTTAGATACGCCCACGGGAGCTGAAGAGTGAGGGGGAAATAAAGGTAGGTTGATGATTGGCTGGGGAAAAGATAGGGTTGCCAACTCCAGGCGGGAAATTCCTGGAGATTTGAGGGATGGACCTGGAGAGGGTGAGGTTTGAGGAGGGGTGGGACCTCAGACAGGTAGGATGCCATAGACTCCACCCTCCAGTGAGAGCCAGTTTGGTGTAGTGGTTAGAAGTGCGGACTCTAATCTGGGAGAACCGGGTTTGATTCCCTTGCACCTGCTGGATGACCTTGGGCAAGCCATAGTTCTGTAAGAGCTGTCCTTGAATGAGCACTTTCTGTCAGAGCTCTCTCAGCCCCACCTACCTCACAGGGTGTCTGTTGTGGGGAGGGGAAGGGAAAGGACTTTGTAAGCCGCTATGAAGGGCAGGGTGTAAATCCAATCTCTTCTTCTTCTTCTCCTCCTCCTCCTCCTCCCAACCAACCATTCCCTCCTGGGGAACCACTGTTGCCAATCTCCAGGTGAGGGATGGAGATCACTCAGAATTACAACTGATCTCTGGGAGGGGGGAGGAAATGGAAAGCTGACATCAGAGGAGCAGATAATGGCAGGTTGATGCTTGGCTGGGAAGGAGATAGGGTTGTCAACTCCAGGTTGGGAAATTCCTGGAGATTTGAGGGGTGGAGCCTGGAGAGGGTGAGGTTTGAGGAGGAGTGGGACCTCAGACAGGTACAATGCCATAGACTTCACCCTCTGGACCAGCCATTTTCTCCTGGGGAACCATTGTTGCCAATCTCCAGGTGAGGGGTGGAGATCACTCAGAATTACAACTTATCTACAGGAGGGAGGGCAGAAGTCAGCTACAGTCAGAGGGGCAGATAATGGTAGGTTGATGGTTAGCTGGGAAGGGGATGGGGTTGCCAACTCCAGACTGGAAAATTCCTGGGGATTTGAGGGGTGGAGCCTGGAGAGGGTGGGGTTTGAGGAGGTTGCTACAGCAAATTGACACTGAGTGCTCAAGGCCTTAGCACTCTCCCAGAACCTCTTTCTGGAGCTCGTTGCCTTATTCCTAGTAGTGAATAATTGCATTGTACCCTTTGAAGTTGTGCTGAAAAAGGAGGCACAAATATTTCCATATTTCAATATTTACAAATTAAAAGCTTTCTTGTGACACAGCTGAGATGAATTTTCTTGAGAGAGTTAATAAAGTTGGAAAAGTTAGGTGTACAAAGGAATACAAAGCTTCTTTCCAGCATTATAATATGTTAATAGATTCAGCTTGTAAGAGGGAAAAAGGCTATCAAAAATGGCATATTGATTTAGGTCATCAGGTAATTCCAGTTTAATTTATAAGAGGTTCAGCCTTTTTAGTGTATCTCTCTTTGAAAGAGAACATAATTAAAATGGTAAATCAATGGCACCTGTTACCAAACAGACTTTCCAAAATTTATAATTCCATGAAGAACAGCTGATTTTGTGGCTAAGATAATGCTACTTTTTCATGTATGGTGAGACTGTTCACGAGCTGTAAAATATTGGAAAGTATAGTGGTATGCATTTCAGCTGGTATAGGCTGTACAATTGCTGTACACCAAAACTGTATTAAAATTTGTTGCATCCCATCTTCTCTTCAAGAATTGCTCTTATATGAAATAACAACTGCTTCTATAGTCTTAGCCAGACATTGGAAGAAAAATTCTCTTCCAAGTAAAAAAGGGTGAGTAGAGAAGTTAAAAGTTACATTCTGCATGATTAAACTGACAGCTTATTAAAAAACAGAAGTGGAGGAGCCTAGAGGAAAGCGGAGCTACTTGGCCACGTCATAGAGAGTGTTAAAGAGACAGTCAAAAGTAGACAAATGAACAGAGGGTGTTAAAGAGTGTTAAAGAGACAGTCAAAAGCACAGTGTTAAAGATACAGAGCGAATTAAAGAGACAGGCAAAGGCACGGTGTGAAAGTTACAGAAAGTTACAGAGGCGTAGTATATAACAACTATAAGACTGACAGTAGGGGGAAATAATAGATTAAGTAGAAGGGGAAAGACAGGCAGAACAAGTCTTCAATAACAGCTGATAGGAGCATTATAAATAAAAGAAATAGTACATAAATAGCTAAAAGAAACTAAACTATATAAAGGACAGAAGTTAGTTCCATCACATAAAGTTCGCCAAATTAACACATACACTATCCAAATAGTAATTATCAATAAATACCAACAATCGCCAATAAAACAACAAATTATGAGGGATGGCTTCAGGCACGAGTGGTCCAAGAAGGGGTTCAATACCATCACCAAAACAGGGAGCTGGCATTGGACAAGCTAAACTGGCAGCACCAACCCCACAAATAAATGCAAAAGATCTTAAGTTAAAGATTCAAGACACAATGCAAAGTATGTTGGATAATATACTACCAACATTACTAAAAAAAGAATTAGAACCACTGAAAGAAAAAATGGAGGAAATCGCAAATCAAATCACCAACCAAATAACAGCTGAAACCACAGAAATTAAAAAGCAGATAAATGAAAATAAACAAGAAATCCTTAAAATAGCGGCAGACGATGAAATAGCAAAGGAAAAAGTACAAGATCTAGAAAATGAAATACAGGAAATAAAAATAAGAGAAAATAAGATTGAAGACTCACTAATCACCCTGGAGATGGACAAAGCTGCATTCATACTTAGATGCCAAAACATCCCAGAATCAATAGAAAAAAACTTGAAAGAAGTAGCGCAAACCTTGGCAGACCAACTAGAAGTAGCCATGAAAGAGGAGATAGAAAGTGACATAGAATCAATATATAGAAGAAATTCTGCGTATGCTAGGAAACATAAAGTACCACGTGAAGTACATATAAAGTTTTATAAACGGGAAATGAAAGAAAAAATGATAACTATTCAAAATGCGGAAATAAAAGTGTTAAAGGAAATCCCATGGAGGGTCAGAGAAAGGAGACAGAGCTATTACACCCTGACAGATTTATTAAAAGCGAATCAAATAAACTTTAGATGGTTGATACCGGAAGGAGTCCTGTTTGAATATAAAGGAAGGAGGCAAAGGCTAGGTTCTATCTTTAAAGTAGAGAACTTTCTTGAAAGGAATGGGGAGGACTTAGGATGGCAGGGAAAAGAGGAAGAAGAAGAAGAATTGGAATCAGAATCTGAAAAATCAAAGAACGAACAGGAAGCAGAAAAACAAAACGAAACAGAAGCAAAAAAAACAAAGAAAAAGACAGGAGGCAACGACATCACAGATCCTAACCCGATTCCAGTATAGAAAGAAGGCAAAACAGAATGCAGGCAAGAATGGAAAGCAATAAAAGATTTAAAATCCTCTCAATAAATATAAATGGGCTTAACAGCCCTCAGAAGAGGAGAACCTTTCACCAAATTGCAAAATTGCAGGCAGACGTAATATGTCTACAAGAAATGCATATTAAAAAGGGGCCGAGAAGTATTTAATCTGCAAAAAATTAGGAAAAAATATTTATGGCCACAAATGATAGGGAAAAAAACGGAACGGTAATATATGTGAAGGAGTATTTAAATCCGGAATTGGTACATGCCTCAGAAGATGGGAGATTAATAGCAGTTAAGATTACAAGAAAGGGAATAGAAACTTTAATTGTTAACATCTACGCTTTGAACCAGAACCAAGAAATATTCTTTAAAAGTTTGAGACAGATCCTGACAAGTAATGATCATAAATGCATATGTATAATAGGTGATTATAATGCGGTGTTGGACCCGGAAGCAGATCGAAAAAAGAGAAGTAAAAACACAAAAACAGGACAAAACTTGCATAAAATTTTTATACAAACGGCAGAGGAATTCAGTTTAGTAGATGCGTGGAGAGTTAGGAACATAAATAAGAAAGACTTTACATTCTATTCCAACAGGCACGATTCATGGTCTCATATAGATATGGCATGGATAAATACTACAATGATGGGAGAAATGATTGAGGCAGAAATTCTACCTAAGACATTTGCGGATCATAACCCGATATTACTCTCCTTTAAAGAAATGCGGAAAACTAGTAGATGGATCCTAAACAACAATGTCTTAAAAGATACTAAATTTGTAGAAAAAACAAAGGTAGAAATCCGATAATTTTTTAAGAGAAATGTTCAACCAGAGATGCCAATACATATAGTATGGGATGTGTTTAAAGCTTATATTAGAGGTTGGTTCATAAATCAACAGGCTTGGAAGAGAAAGGAAAGAAACCAACAGTATGAAAAAATGAGTAAAGAAATTAAGAAACAAGAAGATAAGCTAAAAATAGGACTAAATAAGGATGAAGCTCAAGTTAAAATAAAGATATTCATGCATAAAATGAATTTATTATTAACTCAAGAAATTGCAAAAAAAATAGAATACGCTAAACTCTATCATTTTGAGAACGCGAACAAACCTACCAGGTGGTTAGCATACAGACTAAGGAAAGAAAAAGAGAAACGAAATATAACAGTGCTCAAAGATGGAAATAACAAAGAGAAATATACACCGCAGGACGAATCCAAGAATATCTAGAAAAAAAAATAAACAAAAATTTAATGAAGAGCAGGGCTCTTTTTGTAGCAGGAGCTCCTTTGCATATTAGGCGACACGCCCCCTAATGTAGCCAATCCTCCAAGAGCTTACAGTAGCCCCTGTAAGAAGAGCTCTCTGAGCTCTTGGAGGATTGGCTACATTAGGGTGTGTGTTGCCTAATATGTAAAGGAGTCCCTGCTACAAAAAGAGCCCTGATTAGAGCAAAAAAGTATTTTGAATGAGCGGATTACAATGTGTGAATTAACAGAAGCACTTAAGAAACAAAAGAATAGAAAGTCACCGAGTCCAGATGGTCTAACAGCAGAATTTTATAAAAGCTTTGAAGAAGAGATAATACTCAGGCTAAAAGAAGTAATACAAGGTATAGAAGAATAAGGAGAACTACCAGCATTGTGGAATAGAGCGATAATAACTCAGATATAAAAACCAAATACAGAGATGAACCAAATAAAAAATTATAGGCCCATATCCCTATTGAATGTAGACTATAAAATATACGCGAATATATTGGCAATGAGATTTTAAAAGATTTTAAATCAAATGATAAATCAGGATCAATCGGGATTTCTACCCAAAAGGTTAATGAACGGTCATTAATGTATTGGAATACTATGAAAATCATCCAGGGAAGCAAGCAGTGTTAATGTTTCTAGATGCAGAAAAGGCATTTGATAATATCTCATGGGCGTTCTTAATACAAAAGCTGGAAATAGCTGACTGCGGAAAGACATTTGAGGCATGGATCAAAGCAATATATAGGAAACAACAGGCCCAAATAGTGATAAACGGCGAACTAACACAAGATTTGGAGATTCAAAAAGGGACAAGGCAAGGATGTCCACTTTCTCCGCTATTGTTTATTTTTGCTCTGGAAACGTTAAATGATCTAGTCTGGCAAAATGAAAATATACAAGGATTGAAGCTTAAAGGAGAAAAGTACAAACTGAGGGCTTTCGCGGATGACTTAGTATTTATTATGGAAAACCCTAAAAAATCAATTAAAGCGCTATTAAAGGTAATTCGAGAATATGGATAAGTAGCAGGCCTTAAGATTAACTCAACTAAAACCAAACTGTTGGTAAAAAACTGTGACACAACTGCCAAGCAAGAGTTAAAAAATCTTACAGATATGGAGATAACAAAAAAAGTTAAATATCTAGGTATTATAATATCAAACCGGAACAGCACGTTAATGGAGGATAATTATACTAAATTGCTTGAAGAGATAAAGAAGGATTTAACAAAATGGAAAGACCTTCATATCTCCCTGACAGGAAGAATTGCTACGGTAAAAATGAATATTTTGCCTAGATTCTTGTTCTTAGCCCAGAACATTCCAATACTAAAACAATCGCAATACTTCACAGAATTGGATAAATTAACAAGGAAGTTTATATGGAACGCAAAAAAAAAGCAAGGATAAATTTAAAGACATTGCAGGATAGAAAAGATAGAGGTGGATATGGACTACCAAATTGGAAGCTATATTATCAAGCAGCCAGTATGGGATGAATTAAGGAATGGATTAATCTGCAAAATGAAAGATGTTTAAAATTAGAAGGGCATGATCTACCCATGGGATGGCATGCTTACATTTGGTACGGTAAAGATGTAACACACCAACATTTCAAAAATCATATTCTATGAACAGCTCTACTTAATGTATGGAAAATTATAAAAGGAAAATGCAAAACAAGTGTTGGAACATTTTATCATATGTGGTGGCGGTGCCCAAAAATACAAAAATATTGGACATTTATTCAGAAAATAATACTAGAAATGTTCAAAGTGAAACTGGAGCTAGTACCATAAATATTTTTGCTCAATATACTTCCAGAACACATCAGTTATAATGAAAAATTTGTAATATTATATACAATAACGGCAGCGAGGATATTATGGGCAAAGTACTGGAAGCAAGATATCACCCCGAAACAAGAAGTGATAGAGAAATTGAAGGAGGTAGCGGAAATAGATAAACTGAATTTAATGTTACAGGGGGAAAATGAAGAAATTTTTGTAAAACGATGGGTGGGAATGTACAGGTGGTTAGAAAATGGATAAATGACTCTAATCTGTATGTATATTAAAGAATTAACGATGTATAAGAATCAATAAATAAAATATTTTTAAAAATCCTTTAAACAATATGATGTGTGGAGGCAAATAGTGAACCAACTGAACAACTAATTTTGGTTTATTTGAAATGCTTGAAGACAGGGATCATGTTAACTATTCATATTCTGTTCATCCCACAGAATTGTGAGTTAAAATACTGTATTGATAGCATGCTTATCTCATTGAATTTTCTGTTGGACATATTTTCTGTGTGTAAAGAATAGAAAAAGTTTAAAAATTGGGGGGGGGACCACCTATACATGGATACCGAAGGTTTTCACAGGGTTTTCCAGTTAAAGAAAACAGCTTTTTCCCCCCAGGTTTGAAATGACCATAACAGGAAAGTACAGCAGCCACAAAAAATAACCAAGAAAGCAGATGAATCTTAAGCAGGTTCTAAGAGACTGCATTGTGTGTAACACAATTAAATTGCCCAACATATTTTTGATAAAGAGTGCTTTCAAAATGTTTTAGCTCACATACTTCCAAAAACACCCATGCAAGCACCTTTTCATATAGCAGAACTTGCAATTGGATGATGACACAAAAACAATAAATAAAAAACCAAAAACAAATAAATAAAGACACACACTGGTCAATTTTATTGTAAGAAACTCTTTTGGCATTGTGTCTCTTGTTCTGTCTATGTGTTAACATACCATAAACAGAAGCAGAATTAAATGTACATTTTGGTCAACAAAGCTTTTACAGTAGCAATGTAGACAGTTTCACACCACAGTAATAATACCCATAGTGGGTATTTTAAACTGGCAGAAGGAGCATTTGTGAAGAACTGGACAGGAAAAGAAGATATGAAAGGCAAGGGAATGTTAGAGTGGTCTTACTTACCCTTGAAGATCAATGTGCCAGTAGTCTTTCTGGCTAATGCTATGATAGTGGAAGTCTCCTGTATAGTAAGAGGGGTCACTGCCTCCTAGGATGATTTCTCCCCCCGTGTTTGACTGAGAATTTCTAGGTGAGGGGAGAAACCAAAAGAAGAAGAGAAGAGATTGGATTTATACCCCGCTCTTCACTCAGAGTCTCAGAGCAGTTTACAAACTCCTTTCCCTTCCCCTCCCTCCCCACAACAGATACCCTGTGAGGTAGGTGGGGCTGAGAGCTCTTTTGAGAACTGCTCTTTCAAGAACAGCTTGGACAGAACTATGGCTTGACCAAGGTCATCCAGCAGCTGCAAGTGGAGGAGTGGAGAATCAAACCCAGTTCTCTCAGATTAGAGTCTGCACACTTAACCACTACACCAAACTGGCTCTTAAAACAGAATAAGGCTCTCTATTCTGCCCTCTGAATGAGGCTAGTGCACAGGGTGGTGGGTAGAGGGACTGATCCATATGAAATTTGCTTCATGAACTAAGGCAAAGCAGAGCCCTACTCCAGGGTGTCTTTATCAGTGCCACCCTTCAAAAGAAAAGTTTATATGCTAGCTTGTGTTAGAGTGCTAAAGCAATGCTACTGCCAACAGAATTTACCACCCAGAATCGGACTGCAAAAGGGATTGTTGGTGAGGTGGTTGTGTTTTGGGAAGAGCTGGACTTCTTACTTGAAGGCTCTGTTTTAAACAATAAGGGAGGCCTTCAGCAACAGGCCCAAGAGGGGGAAGTCTAGCACTTTCCTCCTACTCCCTACTCCTGTTTCATTGGTTTGTCCCTTCCCCCTGCTGTCTCTTTTCTAGCCTGAGAAGTCATGGACTCTTAAGCATTTCCTCATAGGAAAAGTGCTCCGACCGCTTAATCATCTGGTTTCTCTCTTCTGTACTTTTCCCAGTTTATAATATATGGAAGCACCGAGCATTTAGGGAAAGCACTATATAATTACCAAGCATTATCATGAGATTTATTTCTGTTTTGCTTGATCCAGTACTGCACTCTGTCCTTCCATGGAGTTCTTGTCAGGGTAAACTAATCTCAACCAGAAGCTAGAACAGAGTCTTGGTTTCAGTCTTGGGATTTCCACACAGCTCTGCCATTGCCCCCAGTTCTTCCTGGCTGCTTTCTAATTATCTCACTCTGGGAGGATCTTAAAAATACTTTCCAGTACTTTTTGGGACCATGCTGTTCTCAGTTTTACTCATCTTTCAAAAAATAAATGCCCTAAAATTACTTCTGTTTTATGCAAAAGAGAAGTAAATTCTGGTGTTCAGGTGGCCTTGGAAGACATATACACTGGTCTGGAAGCTGTGTCCCTAATCCCAGGTGCATTTGCTGTAGATGTTGGGGGAACTGCACTCTGCCTATGGGCAGAGGCTCTCATTTCTTTATGAGAAGAATTCTGGCATTCAAGCACTGGGTTCCGGCTCAAATTAATGTCTACTTTTATTCCAAATCCTTAATTTTTTTTTTAAATATGCAAAACTGAAAATCACTGGGAGCACTGGTCGGCAGAGACTTTTTTGAATTCCTAGAGCGTCATGACATCATTTCCTGTTTCAAAAAAGGAAATTATGTCATGAAACTCTAATTTCTATGGATTTACCATATTCCTAGAGCATCAAGATACCACTTCTTATTTTGAAACAGGAAGTGAATTCCAAGTGCTGTTTCACCCCCAGTTCTGTCACCCCACACCAGGGAGTGGCAGAGGTCATCTGCCAGTACTGGTTAAGTGGCAACCCTAGGATTTAAATTGTAGATGTGTTATCCTCTGTCACTGAATCCAAAGTATAACAAAAACACTATTCAGTCCAAGTTTGAGTCCAGTGGCACCTTTAAGACCAACAAAGTTTAATCCTGAGTATAAAGCTTATATAAATTCAACTTTGTTGGTCTTAAAGGTGCCACTGGACTCAAACTTTGTTTTATTGCTTCAGATCATCATGGCTACCCACCTGAATCTACTATTCAAACCAGTCTAAATTATGTACTGTTCCTATGGTGCAATCGTAAACAGAGTTACACTCTTCTAAACCCATTGAAGTGTGTCATTCTTTTTAAGATGGTACTGTAATAATCTTTGGTGTAGGCCTTTTCTCCTAAAAACACCTACCTGCTGTAGTAGACAGAGAACACTTCCTCCTTCAGGATCTTCTGTGAGATAATCCGGTCAAACACTGGAATAACACCATCTATGGCGTGGCTGGGATATCCCATACCAAGCACCCCATCAAACCTGGCATAGATGAAAGGAATGTTGGGTAGTGCTGTGGCTTCTGCAAACTCTTGGAAGACAGGAATATCAGCAACCTAGAGGGAAGAATAAAAAGATTAAAGATTAGTGCAAGGGAGCAAATGATGGCCACATCAGACAAAGGGTTGCCATGTCTCCTGCTATAGCAAAAAACCTCCTGGCAAACTCTGGAAACAGAGGAAATGGGGGACACTAGATGGCATTTTTTTTTCAATGCACTGACATCACTACCAATAAAAAACAGAAGTAATGTCATGACTGGGGTGGGGGGCGTGATCTAGAATTTGCAAAAACACTGTGATCAGTCCCCACCCCCAGAATGCTGCCAGGGGTTGCTAGCTGCAGTCTGGTGACCCTAACCAAGCATGACCCAGGAGTGCTGTGACCAGAGCCTCCAAATTTCCAGGCTTTCTTTTTCAATTACAGCCTTGTAGACACTGATTTGGGTGGGAATGAGGCCCAGGGGGAAGGGAATTTTACCCAAGTGAAAATACTCTGGCAGTAGAGGGAGGAAAGGAATATAGTGAAAGTAAATGGGAAGAATATGATTTCTGACACAAACGTGTAGGTCTTATTTTCAGCTGCAGATTAGGCTAAGGGGTTGTATCAAAGGCTTCATTGAGGAAGTGGGTTTTGAGAAGGGATTTGGAGGTAGCAGTATGTAGTTATTCTAGAAACTTCAGCACACTTTCCTCCATGAGGAAAGCAGGATGATACAAAGCCTTGTGCTCTGGCTGTTGATGTCTTGCTCCACATTCTGTTTACATACTGTTAGATCGCACTAACAAAGGACTCTTAGAGTGATTCAGCAAGTGATTCAGCTTTATTGGAAGTAACGAACAAGCACTCAACTCAGTAAGAAACCAGAACAGAAAACAGTGGGAGCTTATGCTCCTTTTAAACATAACCGGGCTAATGTAGCCACGCCTATTTACAATTAACAACCAATGAGATTGCTTAGTTAAGGACCAATGGGAGTCTTTCCCTCCTAGGGAATGGTATGTTCTGATTGGTCGCTGTTACGAAGCGACCAATAGGAAGTTCGCTCAGAGGAGCCCTGGTATGGCTCGAAGCTTAACATAGGAGCCCTATGAGGTGATTCATGTAAACGTTTCAATACATTACAATTCCTCCCCCCTAAGTTAAGCCATCATCCCAAATGTTTTATTATTTACATACAGACAATCAATCTTTTGTACATCAGTTATTCCCACAATAATTACACTCATAGTCCTTCAGATAAGTCGGCATTTGCCGCGAACGCTGGGACCTGCGGAGCGGTGCAGGCTCCATGGGCATACAAGGTTGTGGGTCAGAGTGGGGTTCACTACAGCTTGGTTCAGGCACAAACTCTACTGGGGTTTCAGCCCCGCACCCAGGGGTCTGCCCTGACTCGGGGACAGTACCGGGCCTTTCGGTACTCACCGCCTGCTCTGGGGGTCTCCACTCAACATCAGGGAATTCAGCCGCCGGAGAGTCAGCGCTGTCCCTAGCCCAACGTCTCCTTAACTGATCTATGTGGCGCCGCCAGATTCGACCGTCAGCCAACTGCACCACATACATGCGAGTACCCACAGAGTCGGATATTACCCCAGGAAGCCATAAATGACCATTAGCATAATTCCGTGCAAAAACCTTGTCCCCTTTTTCAAACATGCGCACCTTCGGTTGCGGTTCTGTACGCTCGGAGTGATCGTCAGTTAGATCCGGATGTAACCTGTTTAAGCAGGTTGTGAGTCTGCGTCCCATTAACAATTCGGCCGGACTACGGCCTGTAGAACTGCAAGGGGTGGTATGCTGCCGCAAGAGGAAAGCGCCCAGCCTTTGGCTCCAGTCACCTTCGTTCATTTTCCCTAGGGCCTCTTTTGCCGTCCTTACCATCCGTTCGGCCTGGCCATTAGACGCCGGATGGAAAGGGGCCGAAGTCATTTGGCGTATGCCATTACTCGTGAGGAAGAGCCTAAATTCCTCAGACACAAATTGAGGCCCGTTGTCACTGACGAGGACGTCAGGCAACCCGTGCGTGGCGAAAAGATGGCGGAGCGCATGGATCACGGCTAGTGAAGTGGTTGTTTTCATGCGCACAACCTCTAACCATTTAGACATTGCATCCACTACTATGAGAAACATGTTCCCCTGGAACGGGCCAGCGAAATCCAGATGCAATCTGGCCCAGGGTTTCCCTGAAGACTCCCACCTCTGAGGCGGAGCTTGTGGGGGTTCCGGCCTGACTTGCTGACACTGGGAACACACGCGAACCCAATCCTCAATCTCTTTATCCAGCCCAGGCCACCAGACATACCCCCTGGCCAACGCTTTGGTGTGCACCATACCGGGGTGGCCCTCGTGCAGGGATTCCAACACCCTTTTCCTGAGCTTGTCAGGGACCACCACCCTGTTGCCCCATAAAACACAGCCCTTAGAAATGGACAGTTCACTTTGGCGGCATTTGTAGGGTCCAAATTCAGGTTCAACACTCCCAACTGGCCACCCCCTCCAAACCCAGTTTAAAACACGGGACAGCACGCTATCTTTAGCCGTGTGTGCAGCAATGTCCCTGGACGATACAGGAGCCTGAGGGAGTTCGTCCAGTGCCAAGACCTCACAAGCAGGAGCAGGGTCGGGTCCCGCACAGGGCAATGGGCAGCGGCTGAGGGCGTCCGCATGTCCGATTGCCTTCCCAGGCCGGTGTTCAAGGTCATAATCGTACGCCTGCAAAAAGAGCGCCCATCTAAGCATGCGCGGGGACATGATATTCGGCAGTTGCTTATCGGGTGCAAAAATCCCCAGTAGCGGCTTGTGGTCAGTGACCAGCAAAAATCGCCTGCCAAAAATAAAGTCATGGAACTTTTTGACAGCCGCTACTAAAGCCAGACCCTCCTTGTCAATCTGGGCATAGTTCCTTTCTGCCTCAGAAAGAGATCTTGAGTAAAAAGCGATTGGCGCCTCGCTCCCATCAGGCATCAGGTGGCTCAAAACCGCGCCAATTCCAAACGGTGAAGCGTCCGCAGCTAACACCAGGAGCTTCTGGTCATCATAATGCGTCAGCACGTCATTAGACACCAACAGCTCCTTAACCCCCACGAAAGCCCTTTCTTCGGCCTGTCCCCACTTCCATTTCGCCTCCTTATGCAAAAGTGCGTGCAAAGGGGCCGCCACTGATGCCTTATGCGGTAAAAACGCATGATAAAAATTGAGGAGTCCTAAAAATGATTGGAGCTCCTTCTTACTCACCGGCCTGGGGGCGTCTCGGATTGCAGTCACCTTGTCAGTAGTGGGGTGCACCCCGTCTGCATCAATCCTGAACCCCAAGAACTCTACACTGCTAACTCCCAGTGTACATTTTGAACGTTTTACTCTGAGCCCAGCGTTTTGGAAACGCTTCAAGACCTCCTTCACCCGGTCCATCAACTCATTTTCAGACCTCCCCGCAATTAACACGTCGTCGAAGTAGGGCACCGTTCCTGGTACCCCCCTCAAGAGTTGCTCCATCAGGCCCTGAAAGATGCCGGGCGCCACATTTACCCCGAACTGTAGGCGATTCACCTTAAAAGCCCCCCTATGGGTAACAATAGTCTGAGCCTCTGCAGCCTCAGGAGTGACAGGCAACTGCTGGTATGCCTGTGCCAAGTCTAATTTGGCAAAGATCTTTCCGCCCCCCAATGAAGCCAGGATGTGGCTAATAACCGGGACGGGATAGGAGTGTTGTTGTAACGCCTTGTTAAGGGTGCATTTATAGTCTGCGCATAAGCGTATGGACCCATCAGGCTTAACTGGTGTTACTATAGGCGTCTCCCACTTGCTGTGAGGAACAGGTTCCAAAATTCCTTGTTCCACGAGTTTATCAATTTCCCTCTCTACTTTAGGCCTGAGGGGAATTGGAACCTTCCGATATTTCAGTCTGATCGGCTTTACAGATGGGTCAAGTTCAAAAGCAACCGGGGGCCCTTTGTACCGCCCCAGACCCTCTGCAAACACATCAGGGAACAGGTCATACATCATATCCCATTTATTCTCAAGCAATTTGTTAATCCCTGAAATACCAATGCCCAATGGCTCAAACCAGTCCAACCCCAGCAGGTTGACCCGGTCTCCCTCAGCAATAAGACATGACAGTTTAACACATTTCCCCTTATACTCAACATGTACAGTGTCTCTTCCGGCCAGGGGAATCCGGTTGCCCTGGAAGTCGGACACTCTGGTCTCCGCAGGCTGGAGCCGCCGTCTGCTTCTGGTCGGAAACAGCTGTTGCCAGGATGCTGCAGAAATCACCGTTACAGAAGAGCCGGAGTCCACCTCCATAGTGCATGGTCTGCCGTCGAGGAGTGGGGTCACGGTGATCTTCCCTTGGCAACTGGTGCGGTTTACAGCCGATGCGCTTGTCCGGGTCGTTGTAGTCTGGCAGCTTGCTTCCGATGCCGGGAAACGCTGCTTGCTGCTTCGGGAATTTGCGGGGGTATTCCTTTGTGCCGACCTGCTGGTAGGTGAGGGATCCTTCCGTGCCGATCTGCAGACTCTGGCCAGATGACCACGCCGTCCACAGGCTCTGCAGTCTGTTGTGAGAAAAAAAATAAATGGTTCAGAAAATTTTAACCCATTTATACAATTAATTTCATAAATAAATCATAGTCTTTTTCTCCCCTCTATTCCTGTAACTTTCCAAACAGCTAGCAGTACATGACTCCCAAAAAGAATTTTGCTAGGCCTTTGTCTCTTCTTACACAGGAATTAACATCTGCATTTTCATTGTTCATGAACCTAAAGAATTTGGAAACATTTTAGACCTAAAGAATTTGGAAATATTTAAGAATAAAAGAATTTTTTCACCTGCCATTAAGTCAAGGAAGCCAGAATATTTGCAATACTAAGCTCTGTCTTCATGCAGAAATCCACATCACATCTCCAGCCACCAGACAGGTGCCCAAATGTCTACTCGGGGTCAAGGAAACAAAAGAACACCCTGGAACTGTAACATTCTTGTGTTTGTTATTTAGAAATGCAGGTGCTACCTTGCATTGTTTTGCAAAGGAGCATCAAGATGCCCCATTGCCCATGGAATACGTAAACATCTCCTGATTCCTGATGGCCCATACTCTACAGGGCAGTTAAAATTAATTGATGCAGTTTATGATTTCTATGGCTCTATCAAAATGTATAGGACCAAAATGGTATAAAAATAGGCCAGAAGCTTCAGTTGAGCACTGACTCTCAGAGATCCAGAGAAGGCTTTGCCTTCCGTGATCTATTTGGGCCAGTCCAGAAAGCTTTCTGTGCATGGGGAATCTTTGTTTATATATATAACCACTGACTGTTTCTTTTTTCCTTATGAAGTAAGTATTCTGTTTTATATTGCTTGCATGTCTCTAGCTAATAAACTATTTTATTGTTTAAATAACCTGTGTGCATTCAGCTTAACATAGGAGCCCTATGAGGTGATTCATGTAAACGTTTCAATACATTACACATACGGTGGTGATATGAGTCAGTCTTTGGCTTGGGAGAAAAGTGGTATCTTGTCTGATTTCTAGTCACTTTTCAGAGTCCTCTAAAAAACAGAGCTAAGTCAGAAAGGAGAACCAGCCTTTCATTCAAGTTCTAGATCTAGGGGAGAAGAGAAGTCAATCACATTGCCCTTCAGAGGCTCTGAGAGCCTCTAAAGTGTACTATATAATCAGAGATGAAGGAAAGGATGCTCCCTGGAATGGGGGGGGGGCGTGATTGGGAGAGAACAGTAGCCATGACAATGTTGGTGAGTATTTTTAGGCCATTTAGGGTGGTGGATAACATGACTTGCATATCAGTGATGTTACAGGGGCCTGGTGCCTTGGTGTAGCAATTTAGTCACTTCAGTTCAGTAGCCGTGGCTGAGCTTCTAGTATTTAGTTAGAAGGAATGATAGGCAAATGCCTCCTCCTGCTCTGCTAGCAAACCCGCCTACCCACAGCAGCTCTGGAAAGCTCCTCCCAGTGCCTGGCCACCAGCACCATGCGGGAACCTGACCTAAGGGCGGGCGGCTACCAAGTTGCCAGAGTTTCGCCACAGGGCTGGCAAGGGGGACAGGCTCAGTTGATCAGTCGGTCACATGCTGGGGGGGGGGGCACTGCCAGCACAATGCATGCCCAACTGCTCACTCACTCCTTACCTTCATGGTGTGCCCACCAGTTGCCTCTCTGGCCAGGTGTTCAGCTCTTCCTCCTGAGGGCATGCATCTTTTAAAACTCTTAACTGCATGCACACATGCTACCTCTAGCTGCCAAACCTTTAAAGCATTTCCTGCCAATGATTTTTTTTCTCCAGCTGTCAATTTCAGGATCTTTGTTTTAAACTTTGCCTGCATTCCTTTGTGTTTCCTTTCATTCAATGAATTGGACCAGGAGGATTTAAATGGAAGGTGCTTACTTGATGCTACTGCGCAGGTGAAATAGGGCAATTGTGTAAATTAACCTTTGGGCGCCACCCCCAACACATAACAAGTGACATTCCCACCCCAATTAACTAAAACCCTCATTTTTTGGTTGCAGCTGCAGAATAAATACACCAGAATACAGGATAAATATACCAGGGGGAAAAAAGAATGGGGCATGGGGCAGGCACACAAATCCAAAGTCAAGCTTAAAGGCTTGACTGCTTGGATTCTCTAGCGTAAGCTGTCCGTGCATAATGGGCCCCTGTCCATCCTCAAAATTACTCTTCCCAGTCTTCCCAGCATGACTACCTGCTAGGATTGATGAGAACTTGTAGTTTCTGAAGCTTCCCAAATTGAATTAGAAGGCTGAGAAAACTGTAATTTGCATTGACCCTAGAAATCCACTGCTTTCTGAGCACATATTAATAGAAGTTACTGGTTGGCTGCCAACTATGCAAATACATTGAACACATTTCTTGTAAACTACAGACTAATCAGCACTTCAAGAGTATGGGGTGCTCTCCTCAAGGGAAAAGAAACACGGTGAGCAAGATAAATTCTATTTTCAAGCATATTATTTGTAAGGATTATGGCATCACTAGTTACAATTTACAGCTATAATTAGATAATTAATTTAATTAATTTGCCATGCTACAAAAGAACCTGGAAAGCAGATGAGAGGAAAGCATTGCACAAATATTCTCTCTTTAGAAGCAAGAAGGCGGCTGAGCTGAAGGAAGAGAGAACATCTGCCCCTTCATAGTACATACTGTGACAATGTCCTGGCTAAGGAAACCTCCCATGTTTCCTTGTCCATACTGGATTGCAATTTTGGTTCCATTTTCAATGTATGTGCTTGATTTTGAGGAGTCATAGCGGTTGTGTGAAACTGAAAAAAGAAATGGAATACTGCACATTAAGCTTACTTTCATCAGAGTGGTACACACACCTCACAATCAGCAATGAATGCATGATATAATTAGTATGGAAACAAAATGCTTTAGCATGAAGCACACATGGTAGAATACCCAAACTTTCCTTAAAATGGCAAACACAAAACATTCAGACATTAATATAGTTAAAATAAAAGTAAATGTGTTTGTTTAGTATTTCTTTTGATTAAGGTTACAAAAATTTAATTGGCAAATTAGTAAAAATTAATAGGGCCTGTTTTAATCAGAAAGGCCACAAGTCAAAAGAAGTAACTTTTTAAATTGCTGAGGTTAGGTTGGTTCCTGCTGGTACTGTATTAGAGCATTTAAAAGAATGAGTGGTGGGGGGGTGATAGATTTCCGTGGGGTGGCCGTGTTGGTCTGAAGCAACGGAACAAAGTTGGAGTCCAGGGGCACATTTAAGACCAACAAAGTTCAATTCTGGGTATCGGTTTTTGTGTACTGGGACTGGAACATTCCAGGACTGTTTCTACCAAAGACTGGCTGAGGTTGGAGCTCTAGAACAATAGCCCACCTGGACTCTGGAGATGGCCAATGAGAAATGAATGATTCTGACCAGTGTTTCCTCTAAGCTGAGTTAGTGTGAGCTAGCTCACAGTTTTTTAGCCTCCGGCTCACACATTTCTGTATTAGCTCAGGAAGTATGGCTCCAGAGCAAACTCATTTATGCAGTAGCCAAATTGCTCACTCACGACTTTAATGCCAGTAGCTCACAGAGCAGAATTTTTGCTCACAGGACTCCACAGCTTAGAGGGAGCATTGGTTCTGACCAGGGCTATTTTTGTAGAAAAAGCCCAGCAGGAACTCATTAGCATAACAGGTCACACCCAACAGTGGAAACTCATTAGCATATTATGCCACACCCCTGACAGCAAAGCTCAATAACATATTAGGCCGCACATTCCATGTTACCAGAAGTGTGGTCATCCAGCCACACCCACCTTTTGCTTCTTATTCTGTTTACTTTGTTGTCAAAACCCTGGGCTTTTTTGTAGCAGGAACTCCTTTGCATGTTAGGCCACACACCCCTAATGTAGCCAATCCTAATTAGTTTCTGCTGTTAGGTGTGGCCTATTATGCTAATGCGTTCCTGCTGGGTGTGGCCAACTCAGGAGCCAGCCGGAACTCCGTTCCTGTGTGTCCCTACCCAAAAATAGCCCTGGTTCTGACAATGGCCTATCGTTGGTAGTTATTTGGGGAAGTGAGTGGAGTTGCATGCTATTTAAACAGGGCAGTCGCCCAGGCTTTTCGCTTTTTCTTCTTGCTGAATCACTAATAAAGGAGAGCTGATCACCCAGCTTGGGGTTGGACCATTTACGGAACCCAGTATTTAGTACAGTGGTAGGTTCTAACTAGAAGAAGAAGAGTTGGTTTTTATACCCCCATTTTTCTCTACCCTAAAGAGTCTCAAAGCAACTTACAATTGCCTTTCCTTCCTCTCCCCAGAACAGGCTCCTTGGGAGGTAGATGGCACAGAGAGAATTCTGAGAATTGTGACTGACACAAGGTCACCCAGCAATCTTCATGTGGAGGAGTGGGGAATCAAACCACATTCTCCAGATTAGAGTCCACAGCTCTTAACCACTACACCACGCTGGCTAAACCTTCTTATATTTTAATTTCTCAGAAAGAGATCTTTTCTACACTGATTTTTAAAAAAATATTCAGATGTTATTGATTGTTCGTTGACTCAAAGGCAGATGATTAATCAATGAAATTTTGGTAGTTGTATAACAGCCTCCCTTCTGATTAATCATTACTATTTGTTGGCTCTCTTTGAAGGTCTTCACTTGACTGGGTAATCTAAATGGGAGATGTAATGAACAATTTAGTCCTAAAGTATAAAATATATGTAGGTCAAAGTGCTAGAAACTGTGAACTTAAATACTTACTTTAACCTTTGGAATGTATATATTTCTTAGAGTATATTAATACTCAATATGACACTGGAACGTCAAAGTGGCCAGTTTGTTTCAACTTTAGTTTTAATTTAATTGTCCAATCATCATTTTCTTTGTAATCAGACATTCTAACACAGGACCTGGAGCCCACTGAGCTGCAAACTCAACAGGAAGTAATGTGACATCAGAATCATGTGCCAGAACGAGGAGGAACCAGAATGGTGACATCACTAGTTTTAAGGGTAGCAGACCAAGAGAGCCGGGGGCAAGAACCACAAGCCATGTACCATAGGAGGGGTACCACAGTGAGGAAAAAGCCAAGCGCTTTTCTTTCCACCATTTAAAGCACAATCCTAAACAGGGTTAAGTTGACTTCCATGGATTTAGAAGGGTATAACTCGGTTTAAGATTGTACTGCAAGTGATCTAATCTCACTGACAGGCTACTTCTGCTCCCAGTGTACATGCAAAGAAAGGCAGACTGTTTGGTACTTGCCTATACATGTGCATTAGCAGCAGCTCCTTCCAAAAGGCAGGAAAAATGGTGTCTCTCTAGCAGCTTGTAACCCAGCAAGGGGGGCTTTGTGTCCCACCTGAGGGTCTCAGATGAAACCATGGGAACTTCTGTTGCCCACCGTCACTCTGAGTGGCAGGGGGGAAAGCGGGGGCAGGAAAGCATCCTGCAGCATCATGATGTCATTTCTGGCCTTGTAACTGGAAGTGATGTCCCTGAATCACCAGACATGCTAGCTTTCACCTGAAACTCTATGGTTACCACAACATTTTGAGTGAATGTCAGAGCCTCCAGTGATGCAGTGATGTCATTTCCAGTTACAAGGCTGGAAATAATGTCATGCCATTGCAGGGTGCTGTGCCTCCGCCCTCCAAATTCTCCCAGGAGTTGCCAGCTGAGGTAACCCTAGTCCTAACCCATGGGCATTAACTGTTGTGTTATCCCATCCTATCACTTTCGACTACAGCTTGCTGATAACTGCTGAAATTGCATGAACACAAATTGCATGTAGTGTCAGACTTTTGCATATAGAACAGCTATGCCAAAGTGAAAATGCATGGTAGGTGTGCACAAGCTTGTATACTATTGCTGTTCAAGCACAGCAGTGATCACACAACCTTCCACTACATTCACATTGTTCCAGCTGAGGATTTCTGTTTTGGTAATCTCCATATTTATAAACAAGTATTAAGCAAAGGTGAGGAACTGATGTGGAATCAACTAACAGTGCCATCTACTGATGTTTTGAGGCTGTTATTATATCAGGAATGATATCCATACTACATTTTTACAGGTGTTCCAGGAGTATGCTGTGATGTTCTACATAACTTACCGCAAGCACTGAACACTGGGGAGCATTTGTATGATGGCACCCAAAGGTTAGCAGAACCAGTGTCAAAAACTACTTTGAAGGTTTGGGGTGGTGTGCCAATGAGGATTTCACCATAATACTGCACCTGAAAGACACATTGTATTAGAGAGAAATCATGGTACTTTCCCCCAGAAAAGTCTATATAGCTCTTGGTTTTTAGACAAAAATAATACAAAGGAACATAATATTATTCCTAATTTAAAAGAAAAAAAATGTACACATTTTAAAATAACATGAAATAAAATACACTGGAAAATCAATGGGCTTGATTATCCTAACTCTGAATGAATGTCAGCAGTCCGAATTTTAAGAGCAGCTGAAATATATTTAGCAACAGTCACAGAGGTATGGGTTATATTCCCAGAAATGAAATTAAGTAAGTGATAATTATCTGAACAATGAGGGAATATTCCAAGAAAAGGAATTTTCAGGAGAGCTCTATAACTACCACAGAAATTGCATAAGAAGAAAAGGTGTGTTAGGGTTTCAGGGACCTGAAGCCCACATAAAAAATTATTTTGGCCATGTGAGGTAAATCATGGTACTGCTGTTGATTCAAATTTCATCACAGCACATTCCATAGATCCCTATACAAACAACTCTTGGCCTCATTCATGTGCCGGCTCATAATCATATCAAACACTCACATCCTGGTAGTTGGTGAGGATGGTGGGCGCTGTTCTGTTATGGGGCCCCATGCCAGAAGAGCGTTCATTATTCTTCAGTGACAAGAAGACGTCTGATGCTTTCACACCCATCTCCTGCATTGTCTGTCGCATTGACAGCATTTTCTTGAGTGAAATCCTGAGAGGAATGAAGAAGAGCATTAAAAATAGTGGGCACTGATCAGACACAGTACTGTTCTGTAACATAGGCAGGAATCCACAAATATTGCAGGGTCATGTGGAGCAATCAGAAGTTACCTAAATAGTGGCTACTCCTTCAGTATTAACCACTGCATTTTTTAAGAAAGTCAACAGCAACACAGGGATTGTCTCTTTCCAATTAGTGTCAGGCTACATCTTGTGCTGGATGTGTCATTGGTAGGAGGAGAGATTAGAAACACACACATACTATATCCACCATAACTCCACTGAAAACCCTGCAACCAGGAAATGGGTGCAAAAGGGATGCTCTTACTTTGCCTGTTTGGAGATGGAAGCAAGTAAGCTGCTGACTACTAGAAAAAATGGTTGGCCAACCAAATTTGTAATAAACCTCTGAATATGCATATGCCTGGCAAATGATATGGCTCCTTTTCATAATCTATTTTGGATAGCATCATTGCAAAAAATTATGAAAATGGGAGTGGTGAGTGTAGAAAGGATGGTTATAAATCACCTAATGCATAGATCAAAATAATATAATAAAATGAACACCCAGCTCCTTTTCTTTTTGTGTATTGCATTCTGCTTTGCTCAAAAGATCGTATTGAGCTGAACAAACTCTGTAAAGCCTTGTTCATGCAAAACATGGATTTGAAGCGATGTTCAGGCTTTGCTGCAATAAACCTTCCTTATTACAAACAAGTAATCCACACAGTGTCCTGACCTGGATGGCCAAGGCTAGCCTGATCTCAGAAGCTAACTAGGGTCTGCCCTGCTTAGTACTTGGATGGGAGATTACTAAGGAAGTCCAGGGTTGCTATGCACAAGTTGGCAATGGCAAACCACTCCTGTTTCTCGGTTACCTTGAAAATCCTATGGGGTCACCATAAATTGTGGCACTTTCCATGCCCAAACTACCCATTAGAGCTTTTCTATGCCACTCAGTTACTCTAGATGGCAGCAAATGCTTGGGTTGGGAAGCAATTTTCCTTCGTTAATAAAATTCAGTTATTTTATTTCAAAAGTATAGGATAGTAACTAAAGAATATTATTTGGTGGAGAATTCTTTTGTCACCTTATGTTTCCTGTAGCAAAACTATAGAATTTTGTATTCCTTACACTCCCAATATTTCAAAGGAAAAATACTTCATTGGTCCTTGAAATGTGTGTATTCTCTCCCCTGCCATCTCGATCACAATCTGAATCTGTTATCCTATTTGTAAGTCCATCTTTGATTCTTAGAGCCAACTATTGTGTCTTATTTTTACACCCAGATTAATCTCCCATATTTTTCTCCCACATGTACCATTCTGCACATTTGCTAGTTTCCACTGACAGAGAGAAGTCCAGCATGCTTGGCTGAGATGGGAAGGGGGAGCAAGTCAGTCTTGCAACTTCTATCCCCTCTACTGACTGCTGTGTATTCATCCGATTATCTCAACAGAACTTTTGTGCAAATATCTTGTGTGTGTGTGGCTTCTCCCAGATGATCTGAACTTTGAGAGTGTTGTTAGTGGATTTAGGTTGGCAAGAAGGTTATAAATGAGCAAGCCACCTCCAGAATGGTTTTGCATATATCAGTTTCAATTTAAATTTCATGTATACCTTTTTAAATTATGAATTTTATTTTTTCCTTTAAATCAATGTAGACGGCAGGGACCAACTCATTCCCAAATTAGTCAGTGACACGTTTGTGTTGCGAAGCTCCAGAGAATATTTGAGTATTGCCTCTTAAGGATTTCCTTAATGAAAATTATTCTTATGATATGGGAGAAAGGCAAAATTCAGCAGAGTAAAAGCAATCACATGTGTAAATTAGCTTAAAGAAAGTTTCCTAAGAAATTAGCAAGGGTTATATGAGAGGATTAAAACAATAAACAGTCTGACTGACTTCATCTTATCTAGACACTAGTTACTCTGTGATAGATTCTCTGTCCTGAAGGTAGAACAAAGGGAGGAAAAAGACACACACACCCCAATGCCTACATGCAAGATCTCAGGAACATCACCAAAATATTGATCAACCAATAGCCAGGCCAAAGGTCACTTCATTATGAATATGACCTCTCTCTGGCAGGATATACGTGCATGACAGCTCATTGGTTCTAAGCTAACTAACTTAGAATTAGCATATACAAACAAACAGGTTAACTCTTTCATGACTGAAGTAATTAAACCTGCAAACTTAGAGTCTAATTTAATTACACTTTCTGTTTTATCTGGTAAGGATGAAGTTTAGCAGGTGAGCAGAAATGGGTGTGGTTCAAGTATTTTTTTAAAAAGCAATGCTCAAATGTGTATTGGGGGAAACCCCAAATTAGAACGACAGTAAAAATGCTTGGTGAGCCAAAACAGCATTGCTTCTTTGTCTTCATATAAGGAACTCCAAGTTAACCAGAGCAGTGCTGATGGTGGTTATGGTGAAAAATATATCAATTCACTTCTTTGCCTCGAATGGGTAATAAATTCCAGGTGATCATCAACATAAAGAGTGATTTGCTCTAAATAAAAAACATTGTATCTTGTCTCACTTTCAGTTTATATGTATGATCAGTAGATGTGAGAGTCCATCTATATGCAGGCATTGCTTCTGGTACATAGTTGAGTTCTATGTTATTTCCTTCAAACTCTCAATTGCATGGTTCTTCATCTAGGCATTCAGGTTATACTAATACCTGCATGTGTCCCTCATGGGGGACATACAAGTTTCTAGGAAGAGCAGGGGGGGAGAGGCTGAAATTTAGAAAAGGGTTATCTGCCCCATACTATGGACAGCGAACCATCAATACTGGACACCAAAAATCAGTACTGAAGAGGAGACACTTGCTACTCCCAAATATACCAGTGCTGGAACTCTTACTTGTAATTATTGTTAGGTATGACATGACTAGTATACAAAGTATGCCAGAGCTATCTGCTAAGGTTCACTCTTGGGCTGCACAGCTCCTGGGTTGCACTGCCACCACCAGGCCCAGCAGGGCTTCAGGGCTCTGTAGCCACTGCCACCAGCCCCAGTGGGGCTCCCGGGCTGCACAGCCACTGCTGCTGGCCCCACAGGGCTCCTGGGCCACCACCACCAGGCCCAGCAGGGCTCTCAGGCCACAGCTGCTGGGCACAGTGAGTCTCCAAGGCTGCTATTGCTGGGCCCAGTGGGTCTTCTGGGCTGCCACCACCGGACCCAGCAGAACTCCCAGGCTGTGCCACTGCCACTGCTGGGTCCAGTGCAGCTTCTGGGCTCTGAAGATGACTGCTGGAGGAAAGTGTGTTTGCTGCGCAAGAGATTTAAGCCCCCCCCCCTGAATTTTTTTGAAGGTTTTGGATTCTTTCACAAACTTGAGAAGTCACTCAAGTTCACAGAAAAATCTGTTTAGTGCAAGTGTGCCCCCCTCCACAAATGGGGGTACACTTGAGAAACAGTATATAGAAAAGTTGCGACCCGTGATACTCATGGAGCGAATCCCTCCCTCCCTCCACTGCTGCTGATTCCCTCCTTATGGCTCAGTGGGGGTGGGAGACTTGTGGGGGGAAATCCCTCCCCCCATCGCCAAACAGCTCCAGGCTTCACTACCTGCTATGGAGCTCTGTGGCCTGGCCAGAGCAGCTGCCAGCAATGTTCCCTCTAAGGTGTGCAGTCTCGTGAGCAGAAATTTTACCCTGTGAGCCAAAAGTGGTGCTAGCTTTAAAACTGTGAGCGGGCCGACATTTTAAAAAAATGTATTTCAGTGTACAAACATACAAAACATAACATATAAACTATTATCATTTGTATTACAAGCCATATATTTATATTAAACGTATTTATATTTATATGGAACATATTTGTATTACTTATATGACTCTTTCAAACTATATTTTAGAAATCTCAAAGAGGTGTAGTTCAAAGATACACTACCCCTATACATGGAGGTTCCATTTAGCTGTCAGTATTGTTCCTTGTATCTCTGCACTGTCTAGAATATATAATCCAAGTTAGCACCTCTGCTTTCAAATAGTCTGATTTACTGTGATTAATTGTACAGGCAGCAATCCCAAGGGCACTTTCCTGGAAGTAAGCAGTTGGATAACACGAGACTCTATTTCTGAGTACCCCTGTTTAGGATTGGTTCCGAAATCCAAGATGATCAAATAGTTTGCTTACTGCTTAGAAGGGTTCTCCAATAATTCTCCCACTTGAACCTCAACCACTTTGAGCCAAAATAAGGCATATATTTGTGAACTTTTCTAGATGTCTTAGTCAATGAATCATACACAAAATTTGTTTTTGTAAGTTCAGGTTTTCAAGGAAGGTTAAATTTTAAATGTTGGAACACAACTACTCACACCATCCCGTGGCAATAAGATAGATCAGAAGGGGCATTTTAATGATGATTAGGAATGTATCTAGTGCGATAACACAACACTCATACCAATTCAGCAAATAGGCCAAGTTCTGCAGCATGCTATATGGCAGAAGAAAACAGAGGCAACCTCTGCCCGAGTTTATTCAGCTTAGGAGGCATTCCAGTCTCATACAATGAAAATTATATGCTGAAAGCTCAGCTACATGTTACAGTTCCTTCCATGCAAATTGTTCCTTAGGGCCCTTTCTGTGCAGGGGAAGATTGTGGAAGATTCATTGGTAAAATGTTTCTTCCTTCAGCTGGACTTAGAATTGGGCTGTTTTTATTTCATTTTCAATGTCACTGTTGTTTTTGGTCATATAGATTTTAAGACATTAGCTCTTCCAACCATAATGTAGAGTTAAGGAGGGACAATTTTTTAAAGACACTTTAATCCTAGGTCTACTTAGATTATGACATGATGTGCTTTGTGCAATTTTACAACAGCTTGAGTCTTTGGGTAAATGAGAAGCATCATAAATTGCAGGCTGCTTTCAAAGACACTTTAATTTTTGTCGGCATTATTGTAACTACAGTCATGAGTGTAAGATGCTCCCCCTCCTTTACCCACCCACCCACCTCTCCATCACCCCCCTTTATTGTTGCCCGCATTTGACAGTCACATCTCCACCACTCCAACAGTGGCTTTGATCACTGGAACACTTTGGACGGGAGAAGAAATAAAAAGACACACACACACAGAGCCCCTCTCTATTTCCACTAAATACAGTATTCCTGGCTCTCATTATTTCCAATGGGCCTTCAAGTGTTTCCCATTGTTTCCAATGGGCAATCCTGTTCTTCCTTTTAGTACATCCCTCAATGTGCACATTTATCCATGCTGCACCAGCAGAAATGGCCAGCTTTGTCACCTGGGGCTTCTTATGCAAAAAGAGATTCAGGATAAACTACTGAAATGTTTGTTTTTGTGGGCTTCCCCCCCCTTTCCCTAAACTGCTTCCTCTCCAAAGCCAGCCTTCCAGTATGGGGAACCATGAATACGTTGTATGTCCTCTCCAAAGCCTGAACTCACTTCCAACCGTGTCCCTTATTATCTTGCAAAGCCGGGATGGATCAAGCAATGAAAACCAAACATTGTTAAAGCCATTGCAATGAATTAAGAAATCATCCCGAAGGGCCCCCCCTTGCTTAAAAACGAGAGAAGCACAGGAACTCAGGATTCTATGCAAAGTCGAAGCAAAATCCTTTGCTACTATCTGAATGTACCATTTGGGGGGGGAGAGAAGGCTTTCCAAAGCCCCCCTTTCCCCCCCTTTCCTCTACATGAAGAGGAAATCAGGTGGTGACGGTGGCGTTTGTGTGTATTGCATTTCTTTTCATTCGAGTTTGAACTGGTCTCCAATCCAACACTGAATGGGCAGCTCTCTCACTCCCCCCCCCATCCTTACAAAAGTTCCTTCCCTCCCCACCCTCCTCTCCACATTGGAGGAGGAGGCAGAAAAGCGACAGCTGAGGAAAAGAACTTAGGCAAGGGGAGGAGAGTGAGAAAAGAAAGAGCAAAAGACATTTGGAAAATATTATCCAGTTGCTGCTCCAACTTGCTGAGGCCACTGCCGCTCTTGAGATAGAAGCTTCATTTAGCTCGGACCAAAGAAACTTTCCAACTGATGCAGCAGCTCTCTTAACTTTCTTGCAACTTCAGTGAACACCTGGAGAATGCGCTCGGGGTCCCGTCGCCTGCCCCAAGCCCACCATTTACTATTTGGAAGGCAGTTTTAGGCAGCCAGGAGCTGGCCATTTAGAGCCACTGAATCCCAGGGGGGGGAGGGAAGGGGGTCTTTCTGTGCATGGGTCCATTGGATCCTTGCCCTGCCCCAGTCCTGCAGGCAGCACCAGTTGATCCATGGCTTTCACCGGATAGGCAAAAGGAAGTGAGGGCTTTGGCTGGAGTCTACCAAGCCAGGAGGAGAGCCAGTTCCCATGGGGAACATAGCTTTGCAGGAGGAAAGCAAGACATCCCCCTTGCCCATGCCACAGGCTCCTCAGGGATGCAGTTGGCTAGGCAAGCCTTGGCTGGTGTGCAGCGACAGAGCTGCAGGTGCAGAGGAAGAGCCTTGTGGGGGGGGAGGAAGTGCCACGTGAGCAGCCCTGGTACACAAAAAGGGCTTCACTGGGGAGGCGCCCCCAGCCCCCTTCTCCCACCAGGCCCACTGCAGAAGCGGAGTCCCCCAACTCTCTGGTGCTTCTTGCCGCTGCCGCTTCTTCTTCTGCCAGGGGTGGGGTGGAGCAGGACTTAGGGTGAAGAGGGGGGCAGGGCGGCCTCGGAAGCCAGCCGGAATGCTGTTACGGCCCAAAAATAGCCTTGTGTATGACTATTGGAAATGGAACTTCTCACTCCTGCGCTGCGGTAAAAATTGCTGCAGCGGACGGGATTAATCGGTGTACCAGTGCAGCCTGGCGCAGCTTAAAGGGAACCTAGCTTCTGCGCTGCAGTAAAAATTGGTGCGCTGGGTGGGATTAATCGGTGTGCCAGCGCAGCCTGGCGGAGCTTAAAGGGAACCTAGGCTGCCAGTGTCCTCCGCTGGAGCAGCGCGGCTCTCCTGTCCTGCTGCCTGCCTGAGGAAAGTGCATTTTCTGAACCTGCACAGATAATGCTGCTTTACTTTGGGGGGATTTAAACCCCCCATGTATTTTTTTTTACATTTTCAGATTTTTCTGCAATTCTGCAGAATGCCCCAAGTTTAAAGAAAGATCTGTGGCTAACAGTACATAGATAAAGGGGTTTTTTTAGGGTTTTGATCCGTGTTCTAAATGTTCAGTATCTTGCACATATGTGCTATAGTTTCTCAGCTGTCAGAATACAAAAGAAGGCACAGAAACATGAGCTCAATATGCCCCTCACACCTATTGTTTGTGCCTCTAGTGTAGGTCAGGGGTTTCCATCAGGTAGCTCAGGAGTTACTGGTAGCTTGCCAGCTGGTTCAGGATAGCTCCCATAGTACGCCCAGGAAAAGATCACCAAAAGGTTTTCACTGGGCTTTTTTAAAAAATCGCTTTTATTTCATCAGATTTTCCTCTGTGTGGCTTAGTGGATAGTTTTGTCTCTAGAGTTCTTCATGGTCCAAATTCTGTTTCTAGGACAAAATAAAACTTGGTAACAAACCAGGTGGGGGGTGTAGCTTGGGAAATTTTCATTACTCAGACATAGCACACATTACAGGAAAGGTTGGTGACCCCCCCGGTATAGCAGAATACTTAGCATAAGCATTAATCTTCTCCTAGCAAGAAGAAAGTTCTTCTCTAGCACATCATCCAGAAGGATTAAAATCACAGTACACTGTGAAGCTCAGGAAGGTTATAGTGCGCTTATAAATCAACCTTCTTCCATGGCATTTTAAACTGCCTTTTTTTGTTTCTCATGCATGCACACCAGCAATGGAAGAAGGGCTCAAAAGCACTTTGAAATGGCATCTGTGAATGTGCCCAAGGTAAAAAGAAATGATGTTACCTTCGGAAGGCATTGCTGGATAAGCATAGGAAGCAGGCAACTACCGCAAAGGTACACCAGTGTTGCATTGTGCTGCTGCCTTTCATTGGTGGAACCTTCACTCCAGAGCTGTGTATCCTTGTATCTTCCTTGTATCAAGGAAGAAGCAAAACCCGTTGTACTTTTATAGCAGAACTTTCTGCATCTGAATGAGGCTTGTGCTAGATGGTCTTTGGGTTGGAAGGAGGAAATAAATCTTGCCCATCAAGGGGGGGGGGCACTTTTGAAGTGCTAACCTTAACCTTGCTTCCTTGCAAAGGGCAGCTTGGTTGACGCATGCAAATATGGGTGTGTACACACACACACTCACATTCACTCAAAATACATTGCTCAGCAAGTCAAGTCAAGATCCCACTAGATGTACTGTGGAATATGTTTAAAAATATACCCCCAAGTAGGTCAGTTTTGCTTTTTTAATTTCATAGAATTTCTTAGAAAACAGCTCTATGCTTCATACTTGGAATATGGACTCCAATAGCCTTGTCTTCAGATGAAGCCTAACATCAATAAAACAATAATGAAAAAACTTAAATCCAATCCCCTTTAGGGGAACAGTTTATTTATTTATTTATTTATTTATTTCACTTTTACCCCGCCCTCCCCGCCAGGCGGGCTCAGGGCGGCTTCCAGAAACTGATAAGCAGTATACATTTGACAGTGATAGAATAAAATATATCATTTAAAAACATAGACAAGTTAATATAAAACATTCCTTCGATGGCGATAAAAATAAAGTGCAGTTAAGGGACACATTCTGCGGTGCCACCACGCTAGGTCATATTGGATCGGAGTTCACACAGGATGCTGCTGGTTGGACGTCGCTCCTAGCAGAACGCCTGCCTGAAAGTTCTGTTTTCACGGCCCTGCGGAACTGTGACAAGTCCTGCAGGGCCCTGATCTCAGCAGGGAGCATGTTCCACCAGGTAGGGCCAGGGCAGAAAAAGCTCTGGCCCTGGTTGACACTAGGCGGACATCCTTTGGGTCAGGGATCGCCAGGAGATGTTGACTCTCAGAGCGTAACGCTTTTCAAGGCGTATATGGGAAGAGGCAGTCCCTTAGGTATGTTGGTCCCAGGCCGTATAAGGCTTTGAAGGGATCCGGTACTCAACCGGCAACCAATGCAGCTGACAAAGCACATGCCAAACGTGAGCCCACACAGGTGTCAACGTCAGCAGGCGTGCCGCCACATTTTGTACCAGCTGTAATTTCCAGATTCGGTTCAGGGGTAAGCCTGCGCAGAGCGAGTTGCAGTAATCAAGCCTGGAAGTGACCATTGCATGGGTCACTGTAGCTAAGTCCTGGGGGGAGAGATAGGACTTCAGTAGCCTGATCTGCCTAAGATGGAAGAATGAAGATCTGGCAACTGCAGCAACCTGGGCCTCCATAGATAAGGAGGCATCCAGCATTACTCCCAAGCTCTTCAGTAACTGGGAGTCACTCTGAGTTACTGTAAACAACTTTTTATCTTGACAATCAACACTATTAAGCAACTGATAGCAGTGGATTTTTCACCAATTTGTTCAATGTATTTTAATATGTAGAGCTGTTGTTCTAATGCATATAAATAGTTTATTATAAACTAGAAGTTGGCCATTATCCTAATTTAATTAAGCTAAACAATAGTCCCAATGGCCACCCTTTGTCTCCAACCTTGGAGAAAAGAGAGAAGCCATTGCAAGGCAAGCCCCTGAATTCCCATGTTGGCGAGGCGGTGGGCAAGGAGCTGATGGTCTACTGTGTCGAACACTGCCGACAGGTCTAACAACAGCAGCACTGCCATCCTGCCCCGATCCAGATGTCTCCGGAAGTCATCCGTGAGAGCGACCAGTACTGTCTCCATCCCATGGCCCGGGCGAAACCCAGTTCTGCCTTGTACTTGTCAGACTCACAGCCAACAATGAAATACACTCTTGCAGGAAGGATTTATTTTATTGAAGCCATGAAGTACTTAGAACAGCTTTTCTGTTCAGAATAACACAAAGGACTTGAGACTGGGATAATAAAGCAAGTTCAAAATAACATGGGCCAATAGTTACGGTTCCCGCGCCCGCCTTGATGGCTCATCTCGCGCTCAAACCTTGAGAAAGCAACCTCTGTAGCTAATTAAACAATTCTTCTGTTCTCACACTACTGTTCATTATAGACTAAGCAAAAAGCCTCCAAACGCGCACCACCTGTAGCTTTGGCTGATAAGGTTCCTTCAAAGCAACGCTAGCGTACATGGAAAGGAATGCAGTTGACGATGAGCGCTTGAGGGTGAGGGGGGACATGCGCAGCAGAGTCCAAGCCAGTTAAGGAAAGGCAAGATGGGGGGGGGGTGAAACACATCTCATATGCACGGAAAAGACATATTGGCAGCTTGCTGACAGTACTAAGCAGGAGGTAACACAAGATCGTTTAAGGAGTTCTCTCTCCTTTACTAAAGGACTAGAGAGTCCGCTGTGTCTGGACTCAGCTTTGCCATGCATGACTGCTTCCATATGAGTATGTGAAAATGTTCCCTTGTCATGGCACCAGCAGCAAACAAAGTGGGAATGAGTGGGAACAGCATCCATGTACCCCATTCCTATACCACTTGCTCTGCTGCCTGCCACCTCCCTCTGCACTCCTTCCTCACAGACTGTACACTAGCTTGTGCTTTGGACTGATCTTGTGGCACAAATTCCGTAAAGTTTGGTCACTGCTAGACTGTACCAGAAAAACAGATCTGAGGGCTGTCTGTATGGATAAATCCTTAGAAAATAAAGATTAGGGACCCTGTAAGTACAATGGCTTAAACAAATAAGACATTTTTTCTAGAAATGTGTGAAACCTATTCTTTTATTTCTATTGTACTTCACCCCATGGTGCTGAATAGCCATAGAAATATCACAGAGTGTCTTGGATGTTCTTGGATTTAGGAACTACAGGGGTCAATTAGAATGTGCATCCAAATGCAGAAATTGTCCTTTGCTTTCAAAATAGAGTTTCCAGCCTCCAGGTGCCGCCTGGAGATCTCCTGGAATTACAACTGATCTCCAGACTACAAAGATCTACTACTCTGGAGGAAATGACTGCTTTGGAGGGTGAGCTCTATAGCCAGCTGAGGTCCCTGTCCTCCCCAAACCCCGCCTTTCACAGTTTCTGCCTGAAACTTCCAGGAGTTTTCCAACCCTGGGATTGCAACCCCATTTCAAAGCAAAGGCCTTGATCCCAGTCAAGGTCCCATGCAGTTGCTTTTTAGAGTCAAATCATGGAACAAAACCTATTGAGGCAGACTCAGCATGGGTTCTGTAAGGGAAGATCTTGTCTCACTAACCTGTTAGTGTTCTTTGAGGGGGTGAACAAACATGTGGACAAGGGGGATCCAATAGATATTGTTTACCTTGACTTCCAGAAAGCTTTTGATAAAGTTCCTCATCAAAGGCTCCTAAGCAAGCTCAAAAATCATGGGATAAAAGGACAAGTCCTTTTATGGATCAAAAACTGGCTAATTAATAGAAAACAGAGAGTGAGTATAAATGGGCAGTTCTCCCAGTGGAGGGGGGTAAGCAGTGGGGTACCACAGGGATCAGTACTTGGTCCACTGCTTTTTAACTTGTTCATTAATGATTTGGAGTTGGGAGTAAGCAGTGAAGTGGCTAAATCTGCGGATGATACGAAGTTGTTCAGGGTGGTGAAAACCAGTGAGGATTGTGAGGCACTCCAAAGGGATCTGTCAAAGATGGGCGAGTGGGCGTCAACATGGCAAATGGGGTTCAATGTGGCCAAGTGCAAGGTGATGCACATTGGAGCCAAAAATCCTAAATATAAATACACATTGATGGGGTCTGAACTGGCAGAGACAGATCAAGAGAGAGATCTTGGAGTTGTAGTAGATAACTCACTGAAAATGTCGAGACAGTGTGTGACTGCAATAAAGAAGGCCAATGCTATGCTGGGGATTATTAGGAAGGGTATTGAAAACAGATCAGCCAATATAATAATGCCCCTATATAAATCAATGGTGAGACCTCATTTGGAATACTGTGTGCAGTTCTGGGCACCACACCTTAAAAAGGATATTATAGCTTTGGAAAAAGTGCAGAAAAGGGCAACTCGAATGATAAAAGGGTTGGAACACTTTCCCTATGAGGAAAGGTTAAAGCGCTTAGGGCTCTTTAGCTTGGAGAAAAGACGACTGAGGGGTGACATGATCGAGGTTTATAAGATTATGCATGGGAAAGAGCAGGTAGAGAAAGAGGTACTTTTCTCCCTTTCTCACAATACAAGAACCCGTGGGCACTCCATGAAATTGCTGAGCGGTCGGGTTAGAACGGATAAAAGGAAGTACTTCTTCACCCAAAGAGTGATTAACACATGGAATTCACTGCCACAGGAAGTGGTGGGTGCTACAAGCATGGACGGCTTCAAAAGGGAATTAGATAAGCATATGGAGCAGAGGTCCATCAGTGGCTATTAGCCACAAGGTATAGCTAGGGGCTCTGGGGCAAGTGATGCTCTGTCTTCTTGGTGCTTGGGGGGGGGTCAACAGTGGGAGGGCTTCTAACGTCCTGGCCCCACTGGTGGTCCTCCTGATGGCACCTGGTATTTCTGGCCACTGTGTGATACAGAGTGTTGGACTGGATGGGTTTTTGGCCTGATCCAACATTGGCGTCTCTTATGTTCTTATGTTCTTAACAATTTCCTATGTAGGATGGCCACCTGGAAGTCCAATGTACACAAATTGCATCCTTCTGTGGAAAAGCTGGGTCCTCACTGGAAAAGCAACATATGTCACTTCAATTGTTGTTTTGCAGTTTAAATGGAAACTAATAAAACTGGCCATGCAGCCTTCCCTGTGGACTTGGAGACCCAACTGATTAATCAGTTACTAGCAAATGCTTGTGGGAAGTGTACTCAATGATGACTACAGGATGTTGTAAGTGAAATTACCAAAGAAAATCTGAGGGGGGAAATTTTCAAATTACAATTGGAACAATTATCCTTCAAGGCTTGGATCCATCTTCTAACAAAAAGAAATTTTTTGTATAGCATCCACAGATTCTGATGGTCATTTATAGCCAGTTTGGTGTAGTGGTTAAGTGTGCGGACTCTAATCTGGGAGAAC